TCTAACCCCTATTCCAATAAAAACACATAAGAAGAAGTTAGGGCTGTAGCGTAAACTCTTACCTAAAACATAAAAAACCCCAGTTGCAAAAAGATCATAATTTTTTTTACCTTTTTCCAATTGTAAAACTTACGTGTTATTCGAAGTGCCTGCGGTAAAAGATGCAGGTTATGTATACAGTAAGCAACACATACAGTATTCCTTTAATGTAGGCACACCACAATTCTCTATAGAGTAATCTTGAGATCAGACTGTTTTTTTGTTTTTTTTTACAGTTAAATCGTTATAAATTTATTAATAAAAGTAGCAAACCTAAATACTTAACAGCAAAATAATACTATACACTAATTACAATTATTTGGGATGAATCTTATTAACTCCCAATCGTGATTTGTATTGTTTAATTTTTGTGACTGCTCTAAAATGGTGGGTATTTCTAATATATTTTGTAGTAGAAATAATGATTTTGAAGTAAACTATCAAAATTCTGCTGTACTCATTCTCGATAGGTAACTCATTAGGTTCACATTGGTAGTATAACATAATCTTTGGTGTAATTTTGTATCAATGAGTACTTTGTCAATGTAGTAAAACAACAAAACGTTTTAAATATACTTCGTATTTGGTTAAAATACATATAATTGCAGGTTCAGTTGGGAATAGAGCACGATCCGTGTTTATTTTTACTAAGTTCAGCCACAGACTAACAAAAAGAAGCATGTTTAATCTAAGGTTCAGCTGTTTATAGAAAGGATATTTTTCTACCGATAATCAAGGGCAGGTGGAATTGGTTTCAACCCATCAAAAATGCATTTGGTTATCTACGCAATCTTCTAAATGCTAGTAAAACACTAAAAATAAGTGGTACCAGATTTTGAAAGCAATGGAAAGGATAACTGTTGACCATTAATGATCGAAATATGACTAAATGTTCCTTTCCACTATACCTTTCTAAGTGCTTGGTGCGTTTTCTGCCATCAAGCGTGAAATATGCCCCGCGGCCAGACAAAATTGGGAACGCTGCAGACCCGGCGTACTGAAAAAAAAACTGTTTCTCTAATTTATAATCTAGCGATTGCTCGATGTTTTTGTTTACATGCTTGAAATTCCAATTGGCAATAAGCATGCCGGTGCGACGTTACCACACAAAACGCTGTGGACTTGTATTAAAAGAGGCTCAACCTATCAATGATTATAATACGCACAGTGTTACACACATCACATGACTCTGGTAGCACAGGTGTCGTTATAACAATATTGACGAGGTACCTCACACTTTATTACTGTTCTAAATTGTATTCAACCACTTCAACCCTCTCATTTTCCAGACCACCGCAGCAGCTGAGTATCCATGGCAGTCACAAGAGGGCAAACACTTGGTCCACGACCAAGTAGAAGGCTGGAACCCAGAGACAGTAGCAGTAGGTATTCAAGATCTTCCCAGGGGTGTGGTGCATGACAGGGTGCGTAGACAGATGCCCCCGATGCCAGAGGTACCGTCCCCACCACAGGGGATGCCAGCCCCGCCTCAGCCCCCACAGGGATTGCCGTCCCCACCTGGAATGCCTTCATAGAGATCACCACGTACTAGTAGTTGATAGGCATACTACAATCAAAACTATTTTTTCTTGTTAAAATTGTTGTGAAGAGCTGAAAATCAAATAAATTGTAAATAAAATCTAAAACTCGTTTTACTTGTCTTGGATGTATTGGATTTGTGTTGGAAATCGAAAAAAGACAAAGAAAATAATATAAGTAAATAAAGGTGAGTTGAGACACGTTAACATAATTACTATATTATTGAATACATGTAAACAAACATTATATGCGAGTGGGGTAGACCGGTGTACTTGCTATACGTGATTGTCGAGTATAGAAACTATATGTTTGTACAGTACAGTAAATCATGTACAGTGAGAAATTCAGTTATAGTTATATTCATTATGTTTGTAAAGAGTGTTTTTTTACGCAACCCAAATTAAAAGTATTGTGAGGAACATTTTAATGAAATAAAAACAACCTTAAATTTAGGTATCCTTGTTTTCTTTACTTCATTGCCGATCAGCTAAAGCGTTGTTGCACAGTTTATCTATCCCGTTTTCAATGTATTTCTTATTCAAGCCATGTTTAGTTTATTTTTCACCATAAATCAAACATAGTATCATAGTAAAACAAACTTTCATAATTATTTCCAAATCTACACGAATTATGCTTTCCAACGACCCTTTCTTTAAATAATAAAATCGTTCCAGTAGAACTTAACATTTAGCTGTACACAGATTTTTAAAACTGAATTATATTATAAGAAGACAAGCTGCTATACCCGTGCTTTGTAACGGGAAGAAAATGTGATCTAGAGAGCTATTAAAGTAATTCTGATGTGTGTTTTAAATAAAATACTGCAACTCTATGATTTAGTTTGAAAATATATAAACTGATTTAAAAGTGTAAACCTACTTACTTTCAAACTCCTACTTTTTATGTTAATAGATCCAAAAGTATATGACATACCTTAGTGTAGCAAGAGCATCAATTGCTTCATATTGATGCTTCACGAATGACATGTTTTACCATAATTCTTCAACTTTAGTCAAGCCTCTTTACATGTAGCTTACTATATAAATTACAAAATGAAACTTTAAGAAATACTTTACAAAACGTATACAACCTTTCTTTAAAACCAAACATAACCCTCCTAAATCTACATAAAGCATCACAGACACCTTTTTCGAGTAAATAAACAAACACCAGTTCATTGTACCAATTGTACTGACCAGCTGTTTCATTAACTAAATTAAATTAAATCATGTAAACTTTGAAAGCATGCCAGGCGTAGCCCTTTGGAAATCGGCCTGTGGGACAGAGCCCTTAAGAAATTCGTCCATATTCACACTCTAAGCTTCATTTTGATGTGACATATGCCTATATTTTTATAAGGTAAATGGCCTTAACCGTTTACATAAAATTTGATTGTATCACTTTAATAATATAATAGATTATAGTTTCAATATTGCAGATAATTGTCCATCATATTGGTCCAAAATTAAATTGAATCAAATTCAAATTGAGGTTAAAAAAATCACTGTCATATTTTATTTTCCAGGTTTTAACAGTTCCATGATTCTATGATTTACAAATTCCAAAATGTTGTTAATCTCAACCCAGAGACTGTTGACTTTCAACGAAATATTGACCATTTTATAAACATTTATACGTCGCTAAGTTGCACTTATTACCGTTCAATTTATACATAGTTAGTTCGCGATGTATTTTAAAACAAAATATGTTTTAGTTAACCTTGGCAGTTTAACCTGACAAATTGCCGTTAACAACATAAACGATTAAATGTGTGGATTATAGCTCACTTGAAAATAGAATGTTTTAAAACTTTATCAAACGGTTATTTTTAAAACTTTTGTTGTTCTTTCTATCTCTTGGAATGAAAAGTAAGCAAGGGGTATGTCTACACTCCTTTTTCTTCTAATGATTAATAACATTGTTTTTCAAATGTTAACTAAATAAAATTCAAAATACTTAAAAATTTAAAAGTGCACAATACGACAAAAAGAGATCAAAAAGATAAATACCTTGGTGGTGGATGTTCTTTGCTTTATGAAAGCAAACCCGAAGAAATTTTGAGAGCATTTACAAAAGCTATTTATTTTACAGCCTTGAAGATTAGCGTAGCAGGGCAAAACTACGGTTTTCCCATACGGGTTAACTGTGTTTTTCCAACCTTATTTTATATTCCGAATCATCGAAAAACTGTTATTTATAAGGAAATGCATTTAAGACTGTGATTATGACCACAGAGAACAGATCCCTAAAGTGAGCCTTTTAGAACACAAGAGATAAGGGATGTCTAGGTAATTATTTAATAAGTAAATAATAGCTTGAATATGTAAATGTTTAAACCTATGGTGGATTTTCTTAAGAGATGAATTACAATTTAATTACTCTTATTTAGTAATCTGTGTAAAATATTCCGGTTATCAAATAAATCGGGACCTAACCTAAAGCAATGCGAGTTATTCTCAATAAAGTTTGATATTCTCATACTTTTGACCGAGTATGTTGCTTAACTATACGGTGTGAAGTGATAACACATTATGTCGATAAGAATGCTAACTGTTAAAACAACAGCAAAATGTATAATATACTTTTCGTGTTATAGTTGGTTTTTTTGACAAGCTTTGATCTTTTTATTTGTTTGTTTTAGCTAACATAGCTCAATCAACTTATTTGTATTCAATGCGTATTGCTACAGTGGCTATTTTTTTATGTCGTAGTACTTAACTAGGTATATTAAAAGCTATAATCCAAGCGACAAGAACAAGAAACGATTATTATCGGACAGAGGAGCGTCATGTTAATTTAATGCCATGATTTATAGTTTATTAGCTTAAACAAACTTTAAAGCAGAAATTTTCAGGAGCAACATAAGATTATGGTTTATTTTTTGAAATTTCAGTGTAATTGTCAAGGATTGTAATAGAGTTCGTCACCGAGTGTATAGTCAACATTGGGATATCCAGCAATCCAACATAATTTTATACCCAGTATCTGGAGCTCCAACTGAATCTAACGATAGCTTTGCAACCCAATTATTGAAATATTAATACTTAATACTATTAATATTTTATAATTGCGGATTCGAAGGTCGTAATTTGTTGACATTCACAAATAAACTATCCACATGTGGCAGTTTAATCATGTATTAACGTAATTACGATCCACGAGAGTCTGCAGTTGAGGGAGGAGCCTATTCATTTACCACGTGACTTGGAAGGAGCCAATGAGGACCGCGCGTTGTTGCCAAATCTACTAAATCTGCTGATTTGAAAATATTATTTAGTATATCTTAATTAGTGTCGACTGTCGAAAATTAGTGAACGGGTGATGTTGCAACGTCGCGCTAGTCCAGTCTTGCTATTGGCTGCCGCCTACTGCAGACTTGTGGCCCCTAGTGTAGTTAATAACATGGTAAATTTGTTGTGACAGATGTTTTGACAGTATAAAACCGCTGTCCCATTCCAGATTCCACACCAGAAACACATGATTTCAAGATGAACGAGTTCTTACTGTTTTCATTGGTAAGTTGTCTTCGCATTATTGGAAGATTTGTTTAGTATACTTATAAAACCTACGTCCTACCATGCGTTTTTTTATGCAAGCGTATTACCTTAGATTGTTTAAAGTCTTAAAGTGTTATAACCTTAAAGGTTTACTGCCAACTTCTTTACCTATTTGCATAAAATGCCATAAAATACATTTATATTTACATATAATTCGGTTATTTAAAAGTTTCCCATATTACATTTGAATCAATTACCTATTGGTCTGCTTGGACAATTATTATATTGAAAAAAAGGAGATGGATTGACATATAGATAAAAAGAAAACATATGGTGAAAATTAAATTATTCTATGGAAAATATCAGTGAAAATATTGAATTGTTACAACGTTTGTAATAAGTTAAGAGCATGGTTAGTATTTGAATATGTCTTCGGACAAGCCAAGAGTTTTGCATTTCGAAGCAAGACTAATTAAACTACTAATTGACTAATTGAGACTAATTCACGCAACAGTTATTCAGTAATTTTCATCAGAAAACATAATACGGGTCCTTTCACCTTCTTCATGTTAATATGAAGAAGGTATTTGGAAGAGTTTCGTGCTCACTACTTGCATGTAGGCTAAGTCCACCTTAGTTTGATGATGGGGCCTAGCATCAGAAACCTTGCAACACAAAAATCCACTGGGGTCTTATACATCTGTTGCGTGTAGGTTGTGTCTATTAAATAAGGATGTGTTTAGTTTGGCTTATTGAAATACATTTTCAGGTTTTCTTCTGCGTTGTACAATGCAAAACTTTGCTAATCGAAGCAATCAACCTCTCCAATTACCCGGACGATTTTGAGGCAGGTAAGTACCCTGGGTTCGTTTCTTTTGTCTGAGCCAAATTATTTGACTAAACCCGAATTTGATACCAAACTAAAATGTCTGGATATAATGTCTCAATTTCCGTCCTTTGTATCCTTTGAACTCTTGTCCAAACCACCTTTCACCCTTGACCCCCGTCATTTCATGACAGAGCCACAGAGGATTCGCTGACATCACGTCCAGACCCACAGATCACAGCAGTCCTAGTCACACCCAGGCGCCGCGCCGATACGAGTGGCTACTTAAGTCAACCGTCTCTGAGTGTTCATTAGCTGTACATAAATCAATTTATTCATGCTGTATATATTTAAGACTATTCGATATTCAACTCAATTACTTATTTGAATCAATATTTTTTCAATCGAACTCAGGATGTAAATACTTTCAGGGTGGCTAGTGAAATCACATTGAAAAATTCCCTGACTTTTCCCTGACAATTCCATGATTTTTTTTAAATTTCCCTGATCAACAAATTCAAAATTACAATTTTAATACTAACTAATTCTTCAGAGGACTAATCTGTATCTGAAGAATATCTTATGTTTGTTTGCATGAAAAAATACATAAAATCTATAGATACAGGCTAGCTTATATTCAAACTTGCAACTTGCCTTAATAAAATTAAACTGAGATTGATAAGATGATACACAGTTTATAACAAAATTTAATTTGTACAAAAAGACAAAATTTAATTGTACAGACATATTTCTTAGTTTTCACCCACACGGTATACGTACTCTCACCAGATCGAGCTTTCCTAACAATTATTCAAATTATTTTTAACATTTTACAATTTTCTCTGACTTATGACAAAATTCCCTGACTTTTCCAGATATTTAATATTCCCTGACATTTCCAGGTTTTCCAGGTCACTAGCCACCCTGTTAGTGTATGGGATTGTGTTTCAAATCGCCATTGCATTTTACTTATTTTGTAAATTTCATATAATCATTTAATACCTTACATTCTTTTTATTTACTTGACTCATATTAGTATTTGAATAATTTTTAATGTCCTTTAAGAAATGTTATATCATCATCTTTTAAAATTTAATCTTTTATGAAATGTATAACTAAATTTAAATCTTCAACAAGGCCAATAGATAATCATTTTTTTTTTGTGACAGAATTTAACACGAAATTTTACTTTCAGACTAATTAACCTACTTAAATCAAAATTAGGCAATCCTAAAAAAACCCATTAAAATTTGACATGTCTGGAATTTATGAATAAATTGTAATGATTGTAATATGAAATACATCGGCCAAACAAAAAGAAAAATCCAAACCAGATTCAAAGAACACCAAGCTCATGCAAATTACAGAAGACCTGAAAAGTCAGCCCTTGCTAGCCACAGTATTAATTCAGGACATATTTTCAATTTGGAAAGCCTTAAACTTAAAAAAAATATATATAAAACCTCAATATCCTAATGCGTGGGAATTTTATTTTATAGAGAAAAAACAGACCTAAATTATTTGTTAAATAATAAATACGGCCTAATTATATACTCGGAATTACTGAAAATAATTACATCAAGAACAACACTGTAACATATCCAAAATTCAAAGTATAATTTTGTCTAATATTATTTGTTATATATTTTTCCAATATCCTTTACATCATCTGTTTTAATTGTGTTTAAAATTAATTTATTAATAAGTAAATATTTACTTTTTGTACTGTAAACACAGCCTGACAATGGAAACCTAGTTTCTAAAAGCGCTAGTGAAAAAAAAAATTATTAGCCTTGTTGAACATTTAAATTTATTTATACATATCATTATTAATTGCCAATATCTCCAATATATAATCTATATAATTAATACGCTACATGAAACTTTGTCGGTTGAACTCCTCCGCCATTTCTTAACCGATTTTATCCATTGACGTCTCATCGGAAAGAGCGTGTTGCGTAGATTTGCAAACTGGCCTTACATTTTTGAAAAAGTCCCTTGGGCTCTGCCCCAGTGGCTTTGAAAGTTCCCATGTTATCCTTATGAAGAACATAATTGTTTACATTATGATCAGCTGTGTAATTTAATTGCTGTTATTTATTTTTCAATTCAATGAAACGCATTGAGTACATTTATTTACTATTTGAGTTTTTTGTAAACATAACCCCCAAGACGGATCGTGTTAGAATGGTTATATCTTAAATTTGTGTTGTTTTGTGTAGCTATAACGGATCGTGTTAGCATGATTTTAACTTAAATTTGTGCATTTATCGTTGTTTTGTGTAGCTATAATTTGTTTATTTGTTGTTTTTTTCTTTTAAATGCCTCCGACGCGACGACAACGAAACATAGACAGGAGGTGTAATCGTGATAACGACCGCAGCTACACTCTACAGAACAGTGGCGCGTAATAGGCTTACTCAACAGAGTCAGCACCTGACCCTGGACAATCTCAACTATTAGGTTACACATGCCTCCTAACACTACCGACAACAACCGATAACAAAACGACTTTTCGTTCTCAATTGGCCCTCTATCAATGACCTGTGTTGCATGTACAGCGAGACATTTTGAGAAGGAGAAATAAACCGGCCGGAATGCTTTAGGTTTATCAATAACGAAGATAAACATGGTCTGAGTTTCACACCGGTAATCTAGTGTGGAAAGTAAGGTGCCAAAGTAAGGCTTTATCTGTGCAAGGAAGCCCCACAATCTGTAGGAAAATAACTATTTCTCACAGTTACCTGACAAAGTTGGCTTCCTTGCACTGATAATAGCACGAAAAGTAACTAATTGCTGCATTTACTCACTTTTGCCGCCCAACAAAAGGTTACCTAATAGTGTACGCTTGAAAATAAGATAGTGTAGTGTTTTTAGATACACAAATAAAAATTCACTCCCTAGAGATTAAAAATGCCACTTTAGACCCGCAACTAATGTATAAAAACCGGTTATTTTTGCTGAATTATGACGGAAATAGTTATTTCTAATGCGCAATCATATTTCGTTGCATTAAAAAAAAAACTATTTTCTAAATGTACTGGCCGACTCGTGCGAAGCATTCACACTGCATCCTTCTCAAATTCCACTTATTATTGAAGTACAAAACATACAGTTAATACTGCGTAGTAAGTGCATCGTTGATTTAGGTATGGGTTCTTACTTCAGGAATAGATGAGATTTTTATTTTGGATGATTAACTTTTTCAAAATATAATGTTCAGTTATTTACGATTTTAAATGTTTACAGGACCTCTTTGAACACTATGTTTGAATTGATAATATGGCCATATACGATTTTTGTGTTGATGGCTTTGTTTTAAAAAAAAACATGATTTTTCTCTGATAAAGCACACCCTTGACAAAGCCACAAAAACTGATTTTTTTAAATATGGGGTCTGGCACGTTCAATCCTTCCTTCTTCAGCGTCTGTCCAGTGTCCATGTGCCTTACTTTAAGTCATGGCAAAGGTAACTTTTATGGAAAATTCCTTCTTAGTCAGTTTGAAGAACTGATAATCATCAACTTGATAATAGAGTTCTTTTTAGTGTGAAAATTTGTGAAGAAATAAGGAAGTTATGGTCTACCGACAAATAAAAGCACTTTAGAAATTATAATATATATATATAGAAGATTAATGATTGTGTTTTATTTTTATATCACGTGTAGTTCATTGGTTATCTCAAAAGACCTGTTACAAGGCTTCATGTCATTACCGTGCTCAGTCCACTACTTGTGGTACTATAATGGAGTATACTATTAACCTAAGTAGTAAGTAGTTCTAACACGATGTCTGTTTTCAGCTTTCTTGACGGGTTTGATGGGCGTTAAAGACCAACTAAACCTTTGGGACCGAATGAGCGAACCTCGAAGCCAAAGTAAATTTACCAGCGACCTGGAAACAAAATGTAAATATAAAACTTATCTCATCGTGACAGGTTCCAGGGATCAAGAAGGTGAACATATTATATCTTTATACGTTGAATACCGGCTACTAGCAAAGTTTACTACATCAAAATTCTCTGCTAGCAAATTTGTCTTGTATAACGTAACTGCAGAGTCATGTGACAGAGTGGTTGTAAAATATATTACATCAAAGACAAATTGTGTTGCTTGGGTGATTGAGAAGCGTGACATATTTACAACCCAGGCAGTACAAATACGTGGAGATCGTAATTCGTATATAAGGGACTGGGTTTGGGAAATCACCTCAGCGGAAAACTGTGATGTGAAAGATGCAAATGAATTCACACGATTCGATCCTTAAGATGACAGCCACAACCTCACTCAGATGAATTGAAGCAAACATTAAATATAGTTTTTTATTTATTGATTAAAGAGGGAATAAATAATTGCTATCAAGTATAATAATCCATGGTTAATCCTATCCTGTACCCTATATACTACAAGTAAGGTTTGCGCGCACAATGATAATAAGTTTTGATTAGTAGTCTTAAACGAGCTCTCCAACAGGGTGTGTAGCCTACAAATAATTTTACAATTATGTACCAACTATTTTCAAAAATACGGCTACTTTTACTAATAATAATGGTTAACAATTTATTGTATAAACAAGTGTATCGTTGTATAAAAAAGGTCGCACTGCTTCATTTCAACAAGCTAATTTATTTATTTCAAGTCCTGGTAGCTGTAAAGCTAAAAAATATATGAACAAGGCAAATATCCTTGATTCATTGTAGGCTAGTTATCAATATTTATGTTGAACAATTAGGCTATTATTAGCTAAAAATGGCCCATACATAATTGCTACAAAGCACGTGGAGCAGAGTCCTCGAGATTCATTTAAGTGTTACAAAAACACTTGCACCAAATTTAATTTTAGCATTAATCATAACATTGAAAAACATAGTATGTGAGACACATTGTAATAATGCATGTTTACCTTCTCCTTACAGGCATAAACATAGTTTTACATTAAATATCTTGTATAACAATTTAACCATACAAAACATTGTAAAACAACAAATACAATTTAATTAGCAACAATAAACTACTAGAGTCGGGACCACGTAAGGTCCCGTGATTGGGTTGTCAGTTGGGTTGTGATTGGTTGGTGGCAGCCAATCACAAGAAAAGGCTAGTGCAACGTTGCCACATCGCACTAATAAAATATACTAAGCAATATTTTTAAATCAGCTGGTATTATTAGATTTCGCAACACCGCATGGTTCTCATTGGTTCATTCAAACCCACTAGAGTCTAAACCTTCGCTAAATCATTACGATGTTGTCCCCTGGCGCTGCGGAGTGGGGGAAGCAAAGCATTCTATTGGCTGAGGGAACACCATTACCGCAACGATACGATTTATAGCCACCGGCCTCGGTGGTCTAATGGATAACGTGCCGGGCTGAGGATCAGGAGGTACCAGGTTCGAATCCTCTCGGTAGCACTAACTTTTTGTCTAAGATTTTTGCATTATCAGCAAGTTTGGTTAGGTTATGACAGTTTAATTTGTTAATTAAAACATTATAAAATTCAATTTGAGCTATTATAATTTTAGAACTATTTTTTTTCTATTAGTAAACCTTGTTCGATTTTTCATTATCAGCAAGTTTGGTTGGTTTGGTTAGGTTATGACAATTTAATTTTATAATTAATAAATTCTAAAATTGAATTCAAGGCATTTATAATTTTATTTTATGAACATAACTATTTTTTTCGATTAGTAAACCTTCATTCGATTATTATTTTATATATTTTTTATATAATCAGCATGTTTGTTTGGTTAGGTTAGTTTATGACAGTTTAATTTTATAAATATTCATTTTTTAACTTATTTAAAAACTGCAGCTTAGGTATATGATATGCATGTAAAACAACGCGGGCTTGTTTGGACGCCGTCTAGAGGGGAGGTGGAGGGAGGGAGAATCATTTCCCCCACTCCGCAGCGCCAGGGGACAACATCGTGATGATTTAGCGAAGGTTTAGACTCTAGTATTCAAACCCATATGGTAAATAGGCTCCTCCCTCAACTGCAAACTTATGTGGTCCCTCTAGTCAAACATTTTCTCACAGAGGCTGCTAGGCTCGAGGGGAACAGATCAATAATCTGTGTGTATAATGTAAAGTCTCATTTACACATTGACAGGAGCCTCAAGAAAATGGAGGAGAAAACAGAGTAATAAAATAACAGTTCTACAATCTTGCTATAAAGTTTGGGTAAATGGGTTGGTTAAAATTAATGAAATAAAACTAAACAGTTTCCAAGAAGGAATGATTTTTAGCGAATTTCCCATAGGGAATAAGTTATTACCTAGGTCTCATGGTAGGGAATAAACTATTACCCCATAGTGTTTTATACAAATGTTTCCCACTCATACCTGTATTAGGTTGTCCATAATAACAATCATAAATATAAAAAAAACTCATTAATTTTTATTTATTCTTCTTGGTGGTGTTCTATTCATATGTTTCCATAGTTTACAAATCTGCTCTTTCAATGATTGCTCAGTAAATTATTGTTTTCTCGCTTTTTTCCATTGTAATATTTACGCCAACCCAAATTCAAATAGTAAATATTTCATTTCAACCAATTACCAGTTTGTAGCACACTTCCTTACAACTAAAATATTTACAGCAATTAAATTATCCAGCTGATCATAATGTAAAACATATGTTCTTCATAAGGATATCATGGGAACATTAAAGGCCACTGGGCAGAGCCCAAGGGACATTTACAAAAATGTAAGGACAGTTTGCAAATCTACTAACCTAGACAAACATTTTGGTATGTAATATGTGGGGTTAAATCTTAAAACAAAAAAGCCTTATTGTTCACAATGTTTCATGTAGCGTATTAATAATATAGAATAGAATTAACTTTATAATCAAATAATTTGAGTATTATTATTGGAGGACTGGATTAAAGATTACACATGTTGGAAAAACAAATACTCCTGCCACAGCTTACCTGCAGAGTTTTACATTTACAGTTTTTTGAAATATTCTTTCAAATGAATAATCTTAAAAAAACACTTCAAGTTACTACATTATTAGTTTGTAAGCTCTAAAAAATGGGATTCGAGAGAAATTAATTGGGAAATTCTATGTTTTGATGATCTAAAATAAAAAAAATCATTGTTGTAGCCCCGGAACTGTAATATATAAAATATTTGGTTTTACAATATCTTTATCAGTTCCAAATGTAACCTTCGTCAAGTGTTACATGTTTCGGCGAGCTGCCATTGTATTGTATTAAAGTGTTTGACAATGGCAGCTCGCCGAAACATGTAACACGTTGATGAAGGTTACATTTGGAACTGATAAAGGTATTGTAAAACCAAATATTTTAAAATAAAAAACCTGAACTTTTAACTTACCTGATATAATGGAGGATCATATACTTTTATTACCTGATATAGCATTGACTATCATAGTCAATGGTAATAGCTTATTCCCTGTATAGGGATGAAAATAAAAAAGCTAAAAATTAAATATATTTTTATGCTCCTCACATAACAGTCAGGCAGGACGAATAAGGCAATAGGACTGGTAGAAAGGAATAGATTTACCATGTTTTACCTTTCACTGATCTTGGTTTTATTTGGCTCAGGATAGGAAAACCGCAAACAGACCAAATTAATTTTAAAAAAATTTTAAACATACATGAGTCCAAGATCGACAGTGAAAAAAAGAACTGGAGTAGAAATGGAATGCCAAATTTTCTGAAACCCTGATCATAGGTGTAACATGTAAGTACAGAAATCAAATTTAGATTAAAACAACTTTTTGACTTAATATATATTTTTAAGATTCTTGTAACACTAAATAAAATGGGACAACTCCCAATACTATAAAAAATATGATTAAAAATTATTGAAATTGCTTGCACATTGTACTATTGTACTACCACTGCTTATTCATGATAAGGGTTGTTAGCAAGGTAATAGTAGGAAATGTGTTAGATTGCTGATATCGGCTAACTTTTGAGGTTAAAAAGGACTGTTACATATTAAATTTTAATTGAAATGAGAAGAGCTTTTTTCTTGTAAAAATCAGATTTTTTTCATTTAATGGGTTTTTATCAAAATATCAACACTAATACCAAACCTGCAGACTAAGTAAATTTCAATTGTCTTATTGGATTTTAACTCAAAGTTTTCTATAAATAGTCATATTCAACCTTTTAAAAACGTTAGAATTAATACTTACTTTGGCTCTACAGATAAGAGAAAAGGGGTTTTTTTTAAATGTTGATAGTGTTGGATGAAACAAATAATTGTCAAATATTTATCAAAAGATATCCATAAACAAGCGAACTACAACAGTTTTCTTTTCTCCTGTACAATAACCGGATAATATTTAATGTACAGTTTTTTTAATAGTCTTTGTAACCAACTTCAACATTGGGATGGAAGGTTGAGTTCTATAGGATCAAAAGGTTCTGCTTTAGTTGTAAATTGTTCTTTATCACAGTTTTTAGAAACATCGGTTCTAGTACTTCAGATAATCGAAGAGCACTTTTACAAAACACTTTCACACTAAGTTGCCCCATTGGCACACTATGATGATCTCTTGGAGAACCTCAACTTGATTGGTTTGACAGAAGCGGTCACTATACTGTTAGGAGTTATCTCCAAGGGTATGGGAGTTTCTGGTGTAATGCTCAACTCATAGTTAGATATTATCGTACTCAATCCAGCCTTCACCTGCATCTTGCCAAATCTCATACCTGTAAAACAAGTTCTAGTTAAAAAACTAACTCCTAGTATCATTATCATAAATCCACACACCAAGAAGCAAATTTGAAGCTGAATATCAGTGAAAAGTGGCTGTAGAATGGAGTGTGACGATCTGTGTAGCTTTTTTATCTGACTAAGATCAGTCAATACTTTAAATAGGGCCATTTATTATAAGCTGATATTCGATCAAGGACAGCTAGGCCCAAGGCCACACTAGAAAAACATACCATGCTGCAGCACGGGCAGTGCAACACTACGTCACAGTGGTGGATAGGTGTACTAAAGTTGCCAGAGTTAACAGCCAGCTTATTTACCTAAAACATATGGGATATGATAGTGAATCTATCCACAAGTGTGACGTCTTGGATCCTGCAGCCTGTCCTGTTTTTCTAGTGGAGCCTTGCTGGACCCGGAGTAGTTCCGAGTTTTGAACAACAAAATCCATGTTTTGCTGGTGGTACTAATATAAAGTCAAGCTTAAACATTTACGGCTGATGACTATGGATGAATTTGCAGTTCTCTTTCTGCCATGTCTGGAGACGGATCAATCAGACCATGATATTAGTGACAGCGCAACTTTAAATATTTTTGTAAATATATATATATATATATATACTATAAGCCTAGAGTTAGTGGTAAGAAGATAAATAAAGAAGACCCCCTGAAGATGTCACACAAGCTGACAAAATTTATAGGGTGACACAAACATCTTATCTACTCAAGAACTACAGACAACAACAACATAGATAATCTTATATTAAAATTTGTTTTCAACTTCTATGAATCAGAGAGAAATGTGTTTTGAAAGTGGTGACTGATACCAAGTAAACATCTCATCCCACTGTAAATTTTGAAGCTCGTTTTTGTGTCTAGTTTATGTTGGTGACACTGATCGTTAATAGGGTTGACAAAATTTGGTTACTATTGTTTTACGGTTAATTTCATGATTTTTGTGCTTTACTGTTTGGTTAAATCCATATATAAATCCCAAAGTACCAATGAACTTTTGAGAAAACTCGTGGACCTTCAATCTGAGAAAAGTCACACCCCCATAAACCATATTTAAAATTTTCTTCATGACGAGAAACCTTGCACAAAACTATCCATTATTTCATAAATTGCCCTTTAATGTCGCAACTCTTTTCTATAGGGAACTTTCCATATACCTTTTGTAAAAAATACCTCAGCTGTTCTTATTTGTTTGTTGAGCGGAGCGAGCGAAGCTCTTATACGTCGACTCTTATGCATTTCGTAATACGCAAACTCCTTCTAGACGGCTGAATCAATCGTTTTCAAATTTTGCATGGTGATAAAGACCATACCGGTGAGTGCCAACATCTATATGGCGTTAAAAAAGTCTCTCAGGAATCCGCCCCACTGGGTCTCAAAGTTTCAATGTAATCCTTATGGAAGCAGTATTTGACAAATAAACAAAGACATGATCAGCTGTTGACTTTTGAATGCAGTAGATAAAGAAAAAGCTGATAGCATTATTCCACAGATATTGGAACAGAAATGGTATTGATCATAAATATAATCAAATGATGACACTAGCTTGAGGTCCGTGACGTAGGAAGTGGTAAAGGAAGTAAGTAGTAAAGATGAGCAGTCGTGGAGTGTGGGGACTGTTTATGACGATTAAATTAAGGTATCTTCAATCCTAAAATGCTATTGGAAGGGAAGAAAACAGGTCTACGACGTAGGAAGTGCCGAAGTGGTGAAGTAAGTAGTAAATGCGAGCTGTTCGGGGTGTGGAATCTGTTTATGACCATTATATTTGCAATCCTATGATGCTATGGGAAGGGAGGAAAACAGGTCCGTGACGCAGGAAGTGGTGAAGGAAGTAGCCAAGGGGAGCTGCCCGGAGTGTGGCAATTGTTTATGACGATTGGATTAAGGTGTCTGCAATAAAATTCTAAAACGCTATGGAAAAGGAGGAAAATAGGTCACTGACGTAGTAAGTGGTGAAGGAAATAGTAAAGGCGAGTTGTTAGGAGTGTGAGGTCTGTTTATGACCAATAGATTAAGGTATTTGCAATCCAATAATGCTAATGGAAGGGAGGGAAACAGGTCCGTGACGTAGGAAGTGGTGAAGGAAGTAGTCAAGGCGAGCTGACCGGATTATGGCAATTGTTTATGACGATTAGATTAAGGTATCTGCAATCCAATAATGCTAAGGGAAGGGAGGGAAACAGGTACGTGACGTGGGGAGTGGTGAAGGAAGTTGTAAAGGCGAGCAGTCCGGAGTGTGAGAACTGTTTATGACGATTAGATTAAGGTATCTGCAATTCTAAAATGCTATGGAAAGGGAGGGAAACAGGTCCGTGACGTAGTAAGTGGTGAAGGAAGTAGTAAAGGCGAGTTGTTCGGAGTGTGGAATCTGTTTATGACCAATAGATTAAGGTATTTGCAATCCAATAATGCTAAGGGGAGGGAGGGAAACAGGTACGTGACGTAGGAAGTGGTGAAGGAAGTTGTAAAGGCGAGCAGTTCGGAGTGTGAGAACTTTTTATGAAATGAAATGAAAATCCTTCTTAATTGAGGCGAACTTAGGACCTCATGGTCCTTTCTTACTGTTAACCTCTAACATATTTTACTGGAACTGTTTTATGACGACAGATTAAGGTATCTGCAATCCTAAAATGCTATGGGAAGGGAGGAAAACAGGCCCGTGATGTAGGAAGTGATGAAGGAAGTAGTACAGGCGAGATGGCCGGAGTGTGGGAACTGTTTATGACAAAAGATTAAGGTATGTGCAATCCTAAAATGCTATGGGATGGGAGGGAAACAGGTCCGTGACGTAGGAAGTGGTGAAGGAAGTAGTAAATGCGAGCAGTCTGGAGTGTGGGAACTTTTTATAAGGTATCTGCATTTATTACCTTATTAAAATCAGGTGTAATTATTTGTTTTTATTACTGTATTCTGTTTTGTTCATTTCAGCTTCTTAACCAAATCAATAGTTTTATTAATACTTATGAAGTCAAACGAGTTGAGGCCCGTGGGTAACGGCATAGACAAATAGAATGGATAACAGCTAGTTTAATTAACTAGGAGACGAGTTATTTTTTATGATTAGATCATTTTATTTGGTTTGACGAGGTTTTAAATTACCGAAATAACAAGAAGCAAATTATAAACAAAACGCGACGTCAACAGTGGACCGTACAGAACAATAAATCTGTCTACACGCAGCTGATCGCAACGATGTAAATAACTACGATAACTATGCTAACTACGATTTATATAACTGAGTTGTTTATATTGTTGGCTGATCCAAAATGAGAAATCCACTAAGGGCCGAAGTATGTTTTAGGTGTTATCCATGCTGATACATTGAGCATTGTTTAGAAAGTTGCAGCTATCAATTGAAAACAGAATAAAATTAAAACAGTACTAAAACCTCATCAACTGCAAGACAAAAATAGAACAGAAACGTTGTGTCAAGGTCAACATGTTTCTGTTCCTTCCTTGCAAGCTGAAGTAACCGAACCCAGATAATCACTATAATAACAGCCTACCAAGGTCATGGCCATTGTACTAACATCCTGATTTTGTACAAGCAAAATCCAACCAATTTTTAAATACATCTTACTCTACTGCTATAGGAATGAATAAAATAATCCGAGAAAGATTTTTAATATAAATCTGATGATGTTGAATCAAAATTGTCAACCTATGTAACATATTTCTGCTTATATTTTGCACCCTGTAAATAATTAAATCGTGAATCCCTACGTAAAAAAACATAAGGTGTAAAACTAATTAAGAGGTTATACAATTATTTTTTAAGTATTAATTAATTCTCTTACTCACCAATACACACTCGTGGACCTTCGCCAAAAGGTAGGAAGGAGTAATTGTGTCTACTTCTGATATTTACTTCACTAAATCTTTCTGGGTCGAATTTGAATGGTTCTGGGTAAATATCTGGGTCATGATGAATAGCATAGCTTGGAATTACAACTTTTACATTGAGATCCAGAGTTACGTTTTTGTCTGGTATTTTATACGGCTCAGTGCACTTGCGGATCAAAGCTGGAACTGATGCATACATACGCAATGTTTCTGAAACAGATTTTAAATTTTAAATTGATTCCTCTTTAAATTGATTTCACGCTTAAGTATTATGGTAAAGAATGATCAAATCTCTTTTGTTTTAGTTGTCAATATATTGTTTTGGAATCAAAGAAGAAATAAAAATAAAATATTATTGTGTTATCTTGAATCTTTGTAGAAGGAACAAATGAGCTTATTGCTTGACAGATATATTTTACATTAGAAATAGTACTATTTTTGTAATGCAAAATGCACGATAAAACAATGGGAAAATATCTAATTTATTGTTTATGGTCCGGAGCGGGAAAGTTTTTGTCTTCTAATCAATATTTCAGTGGTTTGCTGATTTCCAAATATTTTTAATATGGTTAAAAACTACAGTGTTATTCAAAATATATTCATCTTTTTTACTGGGATTATTCATAAAATCTACCTCTTGCGTCAAAAGATGATCCATTAATCCAAGTAGATAAAATTGTTATGACAATATAACCGACTTATTCACAATAATTGTAAGCATGAATAAAAAAAAAACAATTTTGAGCATGAATAACGAGATCCAGAATCTGTATCTTACCATTTAGCACTTGTTCCATGTAGTTCATCTCCTGGATTGCTTGGTAGGTAATTTTTCCGTTGTGATTCTCCAGAACTTCGTCAATTTCCCGTCTCAACTTCTCCTGCAAGTCTGGATTGCGTGCAAGCTCGTACAACACGAACGTGGTTGTAGAAGAAGCTGTTTCAAACCCAGCAGCAAAGAACACAAATGCTTGAGCAGCCATTTCTTTCAGTGTTAATGCTAAAACAAAACATTTGTCCTGTAATATTGCATTTGAGGAAGGTTTCAATAATTTAGCTTTGAATCAAGATATTTTATGAAGTAGAACAAGTTTTCAATAGATCATCTGAATACTTCACTCAGTTACTCAATACTTTGGCATTAAAAGGATTGGAAAATACATAACAGGGTGCAATAGGGTAGATGAAGGGGAATGAATGAGGTGAAAACAGTTGACTTTTATATAAAAAAATGCAGGGGAATTTTAAATTTACACTTTCTTGTGAATATTCTCCTTTACCATTAAGCACATAAAAACACTTCAATACACTTAATTATTTGTTTCTAAAGCTCTACCAAATGGTTTGGAAAAAAATTGCAAAATTTTGTGATTTAAGGTAAAAAATGGGAATACCCAATTTTTACCTCATAAATCCCCATTCCCAAAGTCCGATCATGCTAATTTGTGAACTTGTTTGAATAAACATATAGTTAACCAATTGGTCCCAAATTTAATCATTTTTGCTCAAGTTATTGTGCTAACGGACACAGAGTAAAAAGGACACAATGTAGTTACAACCTTGTCAACTCAAAATAATAAATTAGTAAAAGTAAAGTAAGCTGTTTAGCATCTGTTATTTTGTGATAAAAGTAAGTTTTGTTTATAGATCTCAGTAAAAGGAATTTATTTGTAAAAATATCTCAATTTCTTAAAAAATGTTAAAGCCTTGTCATTCCAAGGTAGTTATTTTTATAGACAACAGCGATATGAATATGAATTTCAACGGTCGAAGTCCTCAAAATGAAAAAGTAAATCGGTCCCAGGTCCAGGTCTTACCATGAGTACGTTTATAGCCTACTAGTGTACCTGTTGCTCGATTTCGAGCGATTGCGAAGTATTACAGGCGTTATTTTAAAACGAATAACAGTCATAATTTCCGATGACTTTAAAAGAGTCGACTCAAAGATTATGGAAATACTCACGATGTAGGCCTACATAACAGTTCGATATAACCATTAACCAACATTTATTTCATGTAAATATCTTATCATTTTTCAAAAGCTGATCTTGTTTTTTAGTGTTTTCTACAAAAGTTTCCCACTCATAGCCGCATTAGGTTGTCCATAATAACTATTATAAATTAAAAAAAAGCAACATTATTTCTATTTCTTCAACTTGGTGGTGTTCTGTGATTGTTCTATGTTTCCATAGTTTGCAAATCGGCTCTTTCAATGATTGCTGAAGAAATGCAGCAGAGTGTTAATTAAGTTTTCTATTTAGTATATAAAATTGTCCAAGCTTTATCGCTTTTTTCCATTGTAATAGTTACGCCAACGAAAATTAAAATAGTAAATATTTCATTTCAATAAAGTCAGTAAATGTTTGTAGCACACGTTTTCCTTAACTAAAATATAGTAACAGCAATTTTTTGCTGGTCATAATTTAAACAAATATGTTCTTCACAAGCATAACATGGGAACTTTAAAAGCTACTGGGGCAGATCTCAAGGGACTTTTTTGAAAATATAAGGTCAGTTTGCATATCTACACACCTAGACGAACATTTTGGTATATAATACAGTAGATTCCCTCTTATCCGGACTCCTCGGGACCGAGGCCAGTCCGGATAACGGTTTTTCTGAACCGACGTCCCCAAAAACTCGTTAAAACGGACCGATTAAATGCATATTGTATAAAGTATTTGACTTAAATTTAGGAGAGCATTGTATTTAGACACGTAATCACCGGTCCCAAATCTTTCCCACGAGAACAGTCGTTTCAGTACCGCCCACTTCCTGCCGATCTAGTCCGATTAAACCGATGTGCTGATAAAAATTGTCCGGTTAAAGAGATGTAATTTCCGCCGAGTGTAGTCCGATTAAACCGATGTCCGGTTAAAAGGTGTCCGGATAAGAGAGAGTCTACTGTATGTGGGGTTAAATCTTAAAACAAAAAAGCACAAATTTTCATGGAGCGTGTTAATAATATAGAAGATTCCTTATATGGTAAATTCCCTAGAAATGGAAAATTCAAGAGTACAATTCTTACCATTTTCCTTTAACCCATGATTCTTGTTTTGAGCGTGAGAGTCATCATCCAAAGAAGCATTGTTCTTTACTTTGATCAGAAGATCCATAAAGTCATTTCTGCTCACATTGTTTTCTTCTCTGTATTTTACTGTTGTTTCAGTTAACTTTAAAAGAAAATCCTTTACTCGATCGTCCGTCAAAGACATACCAAACACATTCGCTGTAACCGGAAATGTCGACATGAAAAATCGTTTGACCATTTTCCATTTTGACTGCCTGAATATCAATTGACTTATATCAAAAATGTCAGCATTAGAATCTTGCAAAGTGTTTACATCCAAACCAAAAGCGCAAGTGGAAATTATATCAAGGGTAAAACGACTTGTTAAATCCTTGACATCGATTGTTTCATCATTCAAAGCCAACGGTTCCAGATGTTTCTTAAGTTGCTCAGAGCATTTCTCTATCAGCGTAAACATCTGTTTCATCCTTCCAGAGGTAAACGTCGGGGTCAACTTCGTTCTCATTTCTTTCCACTCTTTTCCCTCCATGGCAAATAAATGATTGGCGAGGAAATCATGGGAAGACTTAGGAGGTAACGGACGGTCCATGAAGTGATAAAAGTCCTTTGTCAGGATTTGTTTCACAATGTCTAGATCAGTTACGATTAAAGTCGGTTTTCGAACTTCATATATTCCGCCATACTTATTCTTCTTGAACTTCTTGTAGAATGTCTCGTAAAATGCACCCAAATGTTTTCTTGCTAGTACAAGATCTTGCCCGTTGCCGAAGGGGAAGGTAGGTTCTTCATGTGGAATACCTTTCTGCTTCCAATAGTTGTAGTTCCTAGTGATGTAGGAATATAAGAGACCTGCTATTGTGGCGATGATCAACGTGGCTTGTATCAAAACACCCTCTAGCGCCCACTCCATTCTGCTAACACATGATATTTTATTAAATAAAAATATTTGTTTCTGTTAAATAACTAAATACTATTTCTTTGTTGACTATTGGTAGAAGTACATTTATAGAAGTCCTAGTTCCATGTTAGAGCCGGAGCTAGTTTGAGTTGAAATAAATGATGTTGCTGCAAGTTGTTCAACTATATTCATTACACTGTAGCACAATTGACTAAAGTTGAGAGCTGAATAAAGGGATACTGGGGAATGAAAGAAAATTGGACACCAAAACTCCCCCTAGGTTTTAGTAATTGTTAACCACAAAAACATGCTTGTATCCTACCGGTAATTCTTGTATATACTCTTCCTCTCAAATGAAATGACAAACAAATTATTCAAGTAATCCAACCCTTATGTTTGAGAAAAAGTTATTTATTATATTTTATGCACTCCACACTTGGTAAAAGTGAATTAAGAGGACCCATGCTGCTCCGCAGTGTTGAGATAAATATCATACCTGAGAAATAATCAAATTTATGTTTTTTGGTCGAGCAATACAGTAGATAAATATATGCCGATGCTTGATATGAAATCTGTGCATGCACATATTCAATTTGGGACCTCAATCATGAAAATCGGTCGGGTAGAAGAGCCAAACAAACTCGGAAAAGAAAAACAAATTTAACTCCCATAAGAAATACATGGGGAGCAAATTTCCTTTACCTATAAGCCAAGTGGGACTGTAGATAAATATACACCAATGCTCGATGTGAAATCTGTGCGTGCATACCTTCAATTTGAGAACCCAATCATGAAAATCGGTCTGGTAGAAGAGCCAAACGAACTTTTTAATTATATATAAGATAGTCAACTGGAATGACAAGCTTATAGAACTATTTGTCAGAAAAGCTGGTTAGTTGATTGTTTCCCATCCATTCTATCTACAATAGCAATCAAAACTAATTCTTTAATAATTTAACTACTATCAGAATTCCTTTAACGTTGAACTTTAACCAAAGAAAATTACCATGCTAAAGCATTTTTTTTTTAATGTAGTTTTTTGTCATTCGCCTATTGGGTCTGATGATGATTGGAGTATCCAATTGAAATCGATCACCACTTTCCATCTTCTATATGTAATTTACGTCTTGTGAGTGAACAATATAAGTGTTAATAAATGTTTGAAGTGTTATTAGACGTATTCAGGGTGATTTACCTAAAGTGTTACAATAGGTAACTTTTCAGGCATTTATTTTACAGAGAACTTTAAATGAACAACTTCCCTTCTTTTTATTTTCTCCCCTATACCATAGTTATGGAGAAAGTATTGTTATCGTCAAATTTTTCGAGTTTGAGTTCATAGTGGATATATCGTTTTGGGTCCCCCTGGACCCAAAAAAGTTATTTTCGAAGTGATGTCTGTGTGTGTGTGTGTCTGTGTGTCTGTGTGTCTGGATGTGTACAGAGCTAGGGACTACACCTGTGATCCGATTTCAATGAAATTTTGTGTGTAGGTTCTAATCCATGGTATCTCCAGGGGTTTTTTTTCATTTTTTCGAAATTTGGATTTTTAATGTTGATTTTCCCATAAATCCCATAAAATAACGGAAAAATTGGATTTTCTCAAAAATGGCCCGACTATAAAAATTACTTTTCAAAAGTTATTGTAAATTATGTTATTTTCCCATAAAAACAACAAAAAATAGGGTTTTAGAAAAAAGCCGGTTTTGATTTAACTTAGTATGTTGTGTTCCTTAAAATTTTAAACGTTTTTTTCATTTTTTTGAAATTTTGATTTTTAATGGGGATTTTCCCATAAAATAACAGAAAAAAAAGATTTTTGGAGAAAAGCTGGTTTTGATCAAAATTAATATGTTATGGTCCTTATAATTCTAAAAAAAAAATAGTGCAACACCCCATTGCTGTAAGAATTACGGTTCAAAAGTTATTGCAACTTTTCTGATTTTTAACTATAAAATATCATACTCTCACCGCTTACCCATGATAAACATTGTTGACAAGCTTATGGGAGAAAGTATGTGTCAGAATACTGATATCGTTTATTTAGTGACATTTTACAAAATGCTATATAAAATTCAAAATTTTGGAAAATGGCGGACAATCACCCCTTTTTATGATATTTTTGGATTCCACGTAAAATGTTAAGACATTTTTACTCCTGTACCTAATTTATTTGATAAACCTAACCGTTTCGGATTTGCAGCCATTATAAGCTACACATAACGATGGATATTGTATTACTGTTTACAACAACTAATCAGTAAAGCTTGCCATTAAAGAAGAAGATAACCAGCTGATTGAAGAATAATAATCAGCTGATCGATAATTGTTTATTTTCTATTTGAATTATTAACCATTTAGTATTCAATTAACTATTGTCGAAATTCATTTTTAATTTAAATACAAGGAAATGATTAATTATTTACTATAACCATAATACCATAAACAATAGTTCAATATGGTTCAATTAATACATAATTTTGAATTCTAAATAGCATCTTGTAAAATGACACAAAAAAAGAAGGGAAGTTGTTAATTTTAAGTTCTCTTTAAAATAAACTCCTAACAAATGACCTATTTAAACCACTTTTCATCAATCACCCTGTGTGTATGTACTTTTAATAACACATTGTAGGCTACAACTCTTATCAAGAAGTTATTTAGGACCCAATCAACTTTTATTAAAAAGAAACCTCACCTTAGACCTTTAAAAGCCCTTAGGACTTAGGACAGACACCAAGGTCAATGTTAAGGTGGAAATTGTACTTTGGAGTGCACCCCAATAGCATGTACTTCTAACAGGCAGGAGTGGGTGGTCATGGAAAAAACGCTGGACATGCAGTACCCACACACACTCTCCTTTTTATATATTTAGATTTTAATTTTTTTCTACCAAAGTCTTTGAAGGAATATTAAATACTAGTAACGTAATATACTATTTTTTAAATCTCTATTTCTTCTACTTGAGGACGTTCTATGACTTTCCTATGTTTCCATGGTTAACAAATCGGTTCTTGCAATGATTGCTCAAGAAATACAGTACCCTGTCAATTCATTTTTCTTATTTGATAAAATATATCAAATTGCCCAGGCTTTCTCGATTTTTTACATTGTGGCCCTACATAGGAATGAATAGTAAATATTTAATTTCAACAAAATCAATAATTGTACCCATGTTGAATTGAAAAATAAATAATAGCAATTAAATTATACAGCTGATCAAAATGTAAACAATTATGTTCTCCATAAGGGTAACATGGGAACTTTCAAAGCCACTGAGGCAGAGCCCACGGGACTTTTTCAAAAATGTAAGGCCAGTTTGCAAATCTACGCGACACGCTCTTTCTAATGAGACATCAATGGATAAAATCGCTTAAGAAATGGCGGAGGAGTTTAACCGACAAAGTTTCATGTAGCGTATTAATTATATAGATTATAATTTACATCAATAAATGTAAACAAATATCATACAACAACAACACATTTCGACCGTAAAATCTGTAATGCATAAGTTATTAAACATTCGGGCACAGTGAAAAATAATAATTAATCGTAAAAAACCCATTAAATCAACATTCATCCATTGCAAACAAATAATGTTCTACTTGTATATAAATGACCTCACCTGGGAGACAGCTGGCTGAGACTGTTGTCAGATCAGACCAGGACTGTCTGGTGTAATTCAGCTGTTATTATCCCTTCCAAAATGCTCAGCAATTGCTGAGTCACTGTTCAGAGACTTGTAATTTGTGGTTTAGTCTTACAATCCAGGCCAATCCTTGTAATAGTGACTTGCAGATTTTCAACTGAAAAATTATTCTCAAACCAACAATTTAGAGTGCAGAATGAAAAAGAGAGTCAATTTTTTGCATATCTTCAGGTAAATCTTATTATCTCCAAATCATTTGTGAAAATGTTTACTTTTTATGTTATTTTTATCTTTATATTTCAAATTTTCAATTATTATAATTTTTTCCTTTTGATATAGCATGTTTTGATACCAATTACATTTATAAACGTTACAATTTTTGTAACAACACATTAACTCATATATGTGCGTTAACACATGCATTAACGCAAAATAGTACTGACCAATCATCATCACAGACTTGATTATTTTTAAATGCCATTATATTGTAGATACTGAGTTTTGTAACATTGCCAAAGGAAGTAAAATAGGAGAAGGTAAGAAAAATTAAAATGGGATTATGGCGGTATCTTGTTAATCATTAATTGGAATCCTTATAGTCTATGAACATAAGGGAAAAAAGGACTTCACATGGACAAAATTAGACCACGATCGAAACCAACTGGAATGTGTTTGGCACATGTCCGAGAACATTTTCTGAGAATACCCAAGTTTTCCCACTTGGGCAACGTCTGCCATCTTGGAAAATGGCAGGAAAAGTATACAATAATATGAGCCTTTACTTTTTTATTGTGTAAAACCCGTACCATATAGAGAGGTAGAATACGTTTTGGATTATTCCCCATAAGAGTTTCTACCTAACTACACCAAAAAGCCATATTGAGTTTGTAACTGTCAAAAATCGCATTCGAAACTGATATTTTGTAAAAAAAACATGAGGTATTTTCCTATTTTCGCAATTAATATTCAAAGTATGATTTTTTACATCAGTAAAGATTTGTGGCGGTTTAAATTGCAAATCCAACGCATATAGTACAGTACAGTATAATACTTTTGGCCAAAAACTAAGACTGCCATATGCTTTTAACTATGCTGTTTTTATTTAATATATCGCCAATGCAATGAAACCTGAAACCATCACACTACGAGTTTCTCTATCAGTTCGTAGCCTACTAAAAAAGTGTATATTACCATTGACTATTGAATATTACCCAATAAATTGAAAGACATTAGGAACTCAGGGCGGAACGGCATGCTTATTGTTTATATTACCATACACAGTGTAAGGTGTACATAATAAATATGATTTAAAGGTAGAAAACGAAACCTTATTTTATTTTGTACAAAATAGTAACATTATTAAAGGTTAAATTTAAGGTTTTGATATATCTTTAATTCTGAAAAGTATTCATTTACATGATTACATCACAATATTAAATTCACCAACATGAAAGCAATTCAAAATTCATATCTTCATCTTTTTCACGACCCACTTCAACGGAAAACCCGCTTCAACTGCTTCTGACATTGATTCTTCATCTCATTTCACGTTTCATTTTCATATTTTGATTTTGAAATATTGACATTTTTAACAAAAAAGTTGCAATCCCCAACAGCACAATGGGCTTGCTGGGAACTTGTTCCAAGTCCATTGGCCCAAGTCCCCAAGCCTGGTTTAGACTCAGGCACCAAAGTCTGTAGGCTTGGTTTTGACTTGTTTTAGAGACCGAAGTTGGCAGTTGTTCAACTTGTTATGGGTTTGGCTCCCCAAGTCCAACCCAAGTCCCAACCCCAAACCTACAGTGAACTCATGGTCACAAACCTACTCTAAGCTTGGAATGATGGATACAAAACAGGTCTGGTAGATTAAGCAGGCTCATTATGGACTTGTTCGGGACTTGGGGACCCAAGCCCAATTTTAGTAGGCTCATATTGGACTTGGCCTAGACTCATATTGGAATTGGTTTTAGCACATTTTAGACTTGGGCAAACAAGCTCACACTGATAAATTAAACAGGCTCATTATGGACTTGGAGACCCAAGCCCAATTTTAGTAGGCTCATATTGGACTTGGCCTAGACTCATATTGGAATTGGTTTTAGCACATTTTAGACTTGGGCAAACAAGCTCACACATATAGACTCACTCAGACTTGGTACGAAGTTTTATGACTTACTGTCATGATCAGAGATAATAATAATAATTTTATAATAGGTTATAGTAATAGTAAAATAATTTATACCTATTTAACATATAAGCTGTTTCACACCATTCATTTGCTAGCCCACCTTTTTTCTTAAACACAAAAATAATTAATTTTTTACCAAGAAACATTTATGATCAATAAATGAAGCCTATTTTATTAGTCTTAAGTGATCTTGGAAAAAATATTGGTTATATATGATCTGTTAGGGTTTAGAAAACAAGACGACATTCACATTTCAAGACAATTTATTAATATAATAAATACAATGCCCACTATCTTCCACTTCACCTTCAACTTCTTTTCTGAATCCATCAACTCCACCGCCTGCTTCAGAAGATCTATAAAAAAATTCAATTGCATTAGACGAATTATTTGGTTTATTAAAATTTATTATTTAAATATTTTTTCATAATTTTTATTTGTTATTAGAATTATTTGATTATTTGGCATTTTTGTTGGTGTTGCAAACACAGGGTGTTAACTTACTCTTGTTTTTAAAATTGTAATCAAACTTTTATTTCTTACTGTTTCACTTTTATAATGATTACAGCATGTGATAAAGGAACTTACACTTATCAACAAGGCTACTGAATACAAACAACGTTAACTAATGGTTTGGCCTGTTTTTATCTGTAGACTAGGTTAAGGCATTGACTATAATGGTTAAGGTTAAACACAAATTTTGGCACTGTTCTGTAGAGTTCAGCAGTAGACGTTGTCGATTCAGTGAAGCGCTGAGTATGACAAAGGTTAAAGTGCAAAAGGTTTAGGCTATAAACAAAATTCTGGGGTTCTTGATGCAATGAAATTAATTGTTTGCTTAACTTAGCTTACTTATTTCATCATAGACTAACCAACACAAGTATATTTTTTATCAATGGAGTGTAAATCTTACCTTTACAGCTAGTAATCCCTTAATTCTTCTTTGCTTCGTCTTGGTATCAAAACCACAAACAAAACTCACAACTAGTAACGAAACGAGTAACTCACAACACCAAAACAAGATAAATGAGAACTGACAACTGAGAGTGAGGAAGTCTAAATCCAACAAAAATGGTGGTTCAGCACAAAGAAACAGGTTTTAGAAGCGTGTGGTGGGTAGGGGTGGAGGGAAAATTCTTTTGTCATGTGGCACTGCTCACTTTAGACTCACATGAACAAGCTTGTCGTGGGTCTGGTTAGGTGTTTAAATTGTAGACTTGGCCAACCAGGTTATATATGTAAATAAAACAAGTTTAGTTTTGGCTCATTCACACAAGTTCACTTAACCAAAGCTGTTTTAAATTTGTAGTGGGTTCCAAACTCCAAGTTTGTCATACCAATTCAGAAATATGTAAAAACCAAGCTTAGTCCAAGCTCACGTGCTGTCTGGGATATTTCATAAATAAAAACGGATTGAGGCATTTAGTTTAGCTTAAAAAAGTAGTTTGAAATTATGGGTCACAACACCCCCTTCATATTTAAAATAATTTATCACATTTCTAAATGGCGGATCCAAGATGGCGGCCGGAAAAAATACATCAGTCATAATCATGTGAAAATAGGTTGACAATTACTGGTAGTGTATACTTATCTTTATCTAACACTATTTTGAGATTACGGTCTTAGTTTGTACATGCACAATGTTAAAATGGGTTAAAAATAAAGTTTTAGAAAGCCCTCATAACTTTGGAATAGATCAAGATTTTTAAAAAGTGTTTGCGGCATTGTAATCAGGGTAAAATTCTAGTCCGAAATAATGGGTCACAACCCCACCTTTACATTTGAGAAAAATATTTTGCATCCGAAATGGCGGATCCAAGAGGGCGGCCGGAAATGACCACCTTGTCAAAATTAAGTACTTACTACCCAACAATGTTTGGAAGTGGTCTGGGATTGATATTAAAAAAAAATGGAGAAAAAAGATCGGGGGGACAAATAAAACTCACCCTATATATTAATACGCAAGCAGTTTTCTTTTCACAGTCATAACTCGATAACGGCTGGACGGATTCTAACGTTTGAGGTGTCAAATTAAAGATATTTTCATGTAGATGTGCAAATACGTAAATAATATTAAGAAAAGGCATAAATTAAGTACAGTTAAGGGTAAAAGTTTCGGGACGGTGGCGCTATCCGTCGACATTGGATCAAACTGTCAAACTCGATTCTCTTTGTTTACAACTAAACATATGGTCATAGTTTGAAATAGTTTTTAAGTTTAACCACAGACTGCAGGACTTATTACTTCCAGAGCAAAGCCGGATTTTTTTAACATCTTTAACTAAGTCTAAAAACAATTTGCAAAACTACAGATTAGGGCCATTTATTTGACACTTCAATCATCAAAATCAGTCAAAAAATGAGGGAGGAGTTCTGTTTACAAAAATCGGCTTAGCGTATTATATATATATATATATACAGGGTGGTAAAAAAGTCCCAGGACAGTTAAATATTTTAAAAAATAATGCAGATAGAGCTACAATACTTGGTACAAAGTTACAGGGCATAAAACCCTATTTTAACACATATTCAGTGATCCAATAACTCTTCAGGGGGACGGCCCACAAGGAGTCGGAAGAAAATCTTAAATGGAAGCATAGGTCAATATGCACATCAAATCAAAGGTATTTTTTAGTAGAATACAATGCCGCAAACCGTACTTCAAAAGGTTGATCCTGCGCAAAATGGCAGATGTTCAAAGATTTCTTCAATCCGCCATTATGAATCTTTGAACGACTGCCATTTTTTACTCAGGCATTCTTTTGAGCTTGAATTTACGGCATCGTAATCTACTAGTGAAGACCTTTAATTTGATGTGTATATCGACCTATGCTTACGTTAACAATTTTCTTCCGATTCCTAGGGCTGTGCCCCCTGAGGAGTAAGCGTATAATAGCAATGTAAATTAAATGAATCTTTGAACAAC